TATAATTATTTATCATGGATATATTTTATACATTAGAGGTTCATTAATCCTCACAATGTCCATTTGATGTAGAAATACACCAAGAACAGCGACAGTGCTGTCAGGAGAGGAGGAATTTAGCTGGCTTGGGCTGTTCAAACCCTGCATAATCTGAGAAAGGTTCATCTTCAGGAGGTCTGACCCTTGAACAGGTCCTGCATGTTTATTCAGAGGCCCGGGAAGAAAAAGGATTGTCTTCCTCTATTCAGTAGAGTCTGTTGCTCTCCACCTTCTCTTGTAAGGTAGGCTCTCTTGCTGACCCTGAAGCACACCGTTTTAGTTAGGTTGACTGGTCGGTCAGGCATCTCCTCGGATGCACCTGTGTCTGCCATCCAGTGCTGGACCTACAGGCATGCAGGACCATGCCCAGCTTTTACATGGATGCTGGGATCTGAATTCAGGTCCTCTCACTTGCACAACAAAGTCTCCTACCCACTAAGCCATTCCCTCAGACCCAAAATTTATATTTTAAGAAATCTACTCGATCTATATGATCTATTCATCCTGTCTTATTTAAGAAATCCTTTCCAATTTAAAGCTACAAGCATAATATAGTTCCCATATTTCATCTCAAATGCAGTAAAGATCTGCTTCCCAATTCTGTTTAGAACTGAATTGTGTGCAGAGGGACATGAGGATTTGCTGAGAGGAGGATCTCACCACTTAACACGAGCTGCGCTCAGCTCACTCTGTAGACCAGACTGACCTAAAACCCGTAGAGTTCCACCTGCCTCCGACTCCTGAGTGCTGGGATTAAAGGCATGGGCCACTATGCCTGTCTCATTACGATCTATTTTTAAAGGTTTTTGTTTTTCTATCTAGCCAATTTTTTGGCACTAATTATTAAAAAATAAAACATTACCTGTTAGTTTCTGTTTCAGTCTTTGTCAAATATCTGGTTTTCTAACTAAAAGGTCTGTTTCTAGGCCTTCTTGTCTATCCTTTGTTCTCATACCAAAGCCCACGGGCTACTTTAATAAATGACTTCTGCAGAGCTCACTATCTGGCAGAGAAAGGCCTCTAGCTTTGCTAGCCTTTTTTTATAGTGATACCAACTGTTGGAATTTTGCCATCCCATGCGACACTCACATTCATCACCCAGTCTGACTCACACATGCTACATACATGATTTACAGTTAGACTGGGGTACAAGTCTGTGGATACATCAATCTCCAGCACTCTCTGTGTTTAAAGGGCAAGCCTATGCTTTGCATATATATTATAGTCTGGGTGGGAAGTATCCTCCACATGGTTAAAGGCTAGTCCCCAGAAAGTTTCGCTGCTTCAGAATGAGATGGAAAGTTCAGGAGGTATGCCTGGCTGGAGCAAGTTGGTCACTGGGGTCAAGGCCTGGAAAGATGGACCTTGTCCCTGCCTTCTCCTCCTGTGGCCTCTCTGCCTCTTGTCCGTCTTATGGTGAGCTTGCTTGCTCCATCAGAAGCTCCCTGCCATGATCTCCAGCTTCCCTTTGGATCCACAGCGATGGAAGTAGGAACAGTGGGTTATAACCTCTGAAGCCGGAGACAAAGCAAATCCACCCTCCTTTAAATTGGTTTTGCTCGGTGAAAACCTGTGGTAGCGCCTGACCAGTGATTTAGGAGCTCTTGGAGCTGGTTTGCTAGATGAATCTAGAAGTCTGGAAGCGTGGTACAGAGAAGCCAGAGAACACCGTGGGCAGAATCGAGTGGGTGATTCTGGCTGACTAGGATGCAGCGGCAAAACTGTGTACTTTTGACTCTAGGCAGGAGCAAGTACTCTACTGAGAATTGACGGGAGACTGTGTTACCTTGTGACAAAGTTCTGGCCTCCATTGTGTCTATTCCCTGACACTTTGGGGGAGGTTTTCAGCATTCGGCTGTGTAGTGGGTTTCTCTGGATTTTTTTTTTTATAATGATTTATAATGAGATTTGAGAGTAAAAAGAAAGACCATAAATATTTGAAAATTTTTCCATTTAGACAAGTAAACAAGTGTTTTCCAAGTTTGGGTGTAAGGGAGACAGCATTACAAAACAGATTAATGCCAAGAAAAAAAAAGAAACTTCTTACTCTACACCAGAACAACAGCAAAAGATGTTCTGAGGGCATCTGGAGAATTGGGCGAATTCCATCCATTTTGGGTCTAAAGATGTGAAAGAATGAACTTGTTCAGAAGACTTGGCTTGGTGAAGAGGGCTCTGGGGCTTTCTGCTCACAGAGGGACTCACAGGAAGCTGTTTTCCCAGAATTCCTTTCGCTCTGCAGCTACATAGGCACTCAGAGACCACCAAGATGGGGTTCAAGAACTATCTACTGCTAATCTAATAGTAGAACTTGGCATTGTCTGTGGGCATCCTGATTTTTTCATGCATGCAAAATGCAAAAAAGATGGAGTCATGGAAGCTTACACCCAGGTTTCCAAGGAAAGTGTAAAAGGCCAGAAAATATGCGGTGGGGCTGGAATCTCTTCTGGCAACCCCAGAAAGACCCATGAATAAAGCCCTGAGGATGACCCTAAGTGCAAAAGACACTGTGGATGTTGGAACCCTGAGGGTGAAAGAGCTGTTGTGGAAAACGACAGGCAGCAAACGGAGCCAGCATAAGAGAGCAGCCTAGAGGGCTGTGAAGGGTAAACCAGGAGAGTGGAGCTGAAGTCACACCACCACACGCCCAGGAGCTGGAGGTGGATCTGCAGGATTTAGTGTTTACCTTGCTGGGTTTTGGTCTTGCCTTCCTTACACCCCCTCCTTTCTGTTCCCCGACTCTTCCTGTTTGAAGCAGGAATGTTTACTTTGTGCCATTGTGCATTGTAAGTATGTAACTGGCCATTTGAATGTATAGAGGCTTGCCGCTCTGTTTGTCTGGAGTCTTAGAAGAAACTTTGGGTTTGAACTTTTAAGCCCTGCTAGAACCGTTCAGACTTGGGGGAATCCTGGAGATGGACTAAATGTATATTGCTATCAGAAGATGACTGTGAGTCTTTGGGGCCCAGGCAGAAGGCATGGTTTAGATATAAAATACTCCCCATGGACTCATGTCTGAAAACTCGGTCCCCAGCTGACAACATAATTTTGGTACCTGATAAAAACTCCAGAAGGTGAAGCATATAGATGTACCTAGAAGTATTCTCTGTCCCACTGGTCCCCCTGGACTGTTTTCTTTTCTACCTACCTGTTTCCAAAGCCACTTATGAAATAACCACTCTGAGGCTTAAGATTAATTTTATACTCTTTGGCCTATTAGCTCAAGCTTCTTATTAACTAACACTTACATCTTAAATTAAGCCATTTTTATTATTTTATATTTTACCACAAGCTGAGAATTTCTTTATGGCCATCTCTGACAACCAATAGAAAGCTGAAATGCTACCTTAGGGTCTTATGGCTCATTTGGGAGACAAGGTGTCACGATGGGAACAATGCGCTATGAAGATGCTCTACCAGAACATGGATGGACATACCTGCATCTTTTCACAATGTCAGAAGTTATTCAATAACAATAAACAAACAACAAGTTACCTTCCCTTCCTGGACTGCAATTTCCCAAGCAATCCCAATTTCCCTTGATAACTGGCGATTGGCAAGCACAGGTTCATTTATTCCAGGCTCATTTAGAAAGCCTCAGGTTCTGCTTTCTATGTCAAACGATGAGTACATTTATCTATATGCATGAGGAAATATATGTGGGTTACGGAATGGCCAGCAAAGGGTTAAAGCAGCCTCCCAGGAAGATAGAGGATCACTGCAGTCAGTCGGTAAGATATTGAGAAACCTGTTAAAGAGAGCCAGAGAGATGGCTCAATGGTTAAGAGCACTGACTGTTCCTCCAGGGGACGCAGGTTTGGTTCCCAGCACCCACACAGTGGCTCGTAAACATCTGCAGCTCCAGTTCTAAGCGATCCAGTGCACTCCTCTGGTTTCCTTGGGCACCAGGTATGTACCTGGTGCATAGATATCATGCAGGCAAAACACTTGCACACATAAATAAAAGTATAAAAGACAGCCATCAAGGGGGCTGATGGTTCAGAGGTTAGAAGCACTGATTGTTCTTCCAGAGGTCCTGAGTTCAATTCCCAGCAACCACTTGGTGGCTTAACCATCTGGAATAAGATCTGGCACCATCTCCTGGCCTGCAGGGATACATACAGGGAGAGCACTGTATACATAATTAATATTTTTTTTAAAAGGCACCCACCAAAGTGTTGCTGGAGACACAAAACTGCAGGCCTCCCAGGTGAGCTGGCCCAGGGGGACATGATGTCGATTGAGCCAACTGCAGAGACAGAAAAATGGAGGAAAGTCTCCAAACACGGTCAGAATAGGTGGGCAGATGGACAGACAGCAGTTCAAGTAGGTTATCTCAAGCGGTGAGGATGGAGCTGAGCCCCAGCCTTAGATACAGTCAGGAAATTTCTTATTGTGGGTTGTCTGAGACACATTTTGAGCTGTCGGATAACAAGTGAATGGGGACATCAGCATGCAACATCAGATCCCCCCCATTTCCATGTCACCATCACCACACAACATCAGATCCCCTCACCTCCCCATCCTGATGTCACCATCACCAGGCAACGTCAGATCCCCTCCCCTCCCCATCTCAATATCACCATCACGACACAATGTCAGCTACCCTCCCCTCCCCATCTCAATGTCACCATCTTTTCTCAGTATTGCAAAGCTGGTAACCAAGTCCTTAGCACAAAGACCAAGCTACCACAGTAACAATGACAAACTGCCATTCCCATGGTATGTGGACCCAAGACTGGAGTACTTCAACTGTCTACAACAACCCTGGTTGCGTCTAACATATGCACAAAGTGCACTTTGCCTATGAAAAAATATGTTACAGGGGTTACAGACAATATAAAAATCTGCAGTGGTACAATCAGCAATGTGACAATTTTAAATGTTTGATAAAATCCTTGGTATTTAAGGCTCTGGTGTCACCATTGTCTGAAAATATGAACAATGTTCTTCCTCTGCAGAAAAAACATCGTCGACCCAGAAGACCCTCGATGTGCCCGGTTAACACTTACTGGCCGGATGATCACAGTACTGCCAGGAGAGTTAGAGTTTGCCAAGCAAGCCATGTTTTCAAGGTATGGAGGTGCTTTATTTTATTTTGGTTTTTCGAGACAGGGTTTTTCTGTAGCTTTGGTGCCTGTCCCGGAACTAGCTCTTGTAGACCAGGCTGGCCTCGAACTCCCAGAGATCCACCTGCCTCTGCCTCCCGAGTGCTGGGATTAAAGGCATGCACCACCACCGCCCGGCCATGGAGGTGCTTTAAAATTGGTCTCCCTGAATCCAAGTACGGTGGTACATGTCTGGCATTCGGAAGGCAGAAAGATTCAGAATTTTAAGCCAGTCCGGACTGCATAGTGAGTGAATCCAAGGCTAGCCTAAGCTACATAGTGAGACTTTATCATCAAAAAAAATACAGAAAAAAAAACCTGTTTGTCCCAATATAGACAAGAATAAGTGGATGTCAGAGATGGTGAAGGAATGGTGTTACTGGCCCGCTCCTCGTGGCTTGCTCCGTTGGCTTTTATACTCCCCAATACCAACCTGCATAGGGATGGCACCACCCACGGTGGGCTGGGTCTTTCTGCATCAATCATTAATTAAGAAATTGCCCATAGGCCAATCTGAGGGAGGCATTTTTCTCCGTGGAAGTTTCCTCTTCCCAGATGGCCCTGGCTCTTTTCAAACTGGCGATAAAACCAGCCACCACGTGTGCCTTGCCATGAAAGCAACTGAGCCTTCCTAACCCCACACAGTGCCACAGACATGCTCGGACCTCTCTATCAAGACCATGGTGGCGTTCGTTTTATTACAAGTGTCCTTCTAGCTTGCTGTTGGTCCTTGACTTATGTTTACAACATCTTGAGATGTGAAGAAAATTTTTATTTTTATAAAATTGCAAAGAAAAAAAAAGGACCAACTATAGCCCCTACCTCCAAAGATATTCTCATGCATTTGGGAGGCAGGTGTCAGTATAGCAACGGGAAGACAGAGCTCCCTGTCCATGCTGCCTGGCTCTCAGCTTCCTGCAGAATTGGAAATCTCTCCAGGAGGAGATGCATTCACAGGCTTGCCATTCTGTTACTTTTCATACAGAAACACACAGGGTCTTTCTTGATGCTTCCCACTGGCAATCATCAGCCATCACTGAGCACTGGCTAGAGAGCTGTGCACTCCCTTCTCACTCCCCATACAGCCCTGTGATGAGCATCAACACCTTCACCCACACGACAGGTGAGGAGACAGCCATAGAAGCAGCATCAGCATCTGAACTCATCTGCTATGGAACTGGGATTCACACCTCAGAGCCTGGCTCCAGAATAGAGCTCTTAGCTCCTCTGTACAGAGACCATAATTTCCTGCCTTGCTAAGGCTCCCCCAGCCCCTGCTCCCCAACCCATCAGTGTCTACATTTTGGGGAGTGTTGAGCCCAAATCAGGCCTAGAGGTGGGAGATCCCTAGGACTGGCTGAGATGCACTGTTTCACTACGTTCTTCTCCCTCTGCTTCTGCAGGCATCCAGGTATGAGAAAGTGGCCCCGCCAGTATGAATGGTTCTTCATGAAGATGTGGGTAGAACACATCTGGCTTCAGAAGTGGTATGGGGGTGTAGCCGACATCCCAAGGGAGGAGTACTTCAAAGCAGCTCCCAGGAAGGCCTGATGGTAACACAAAAGTCCTGGGCTTTGCATTAAAGTGAAGACCTTTGAAGTGAAGAAGCCAGACAGTCACCGACTGTTGTCCCTTTGTTGAAGGGTGCCTAGCCGCCCTGTCATCCTGCAGCAGAATGAGAGAGGATGAACAGGGAACCTTGGGCTAGACTTCAGATTCACTGAGTGGTCCTTTGTGGATCCACCGTTCGTACGGGCACTTCACATAGAAAGAGTTTGTTTCTGCTGTACTCAATCCAGACACGCCCATTTGGAAATCATGGTGGTCAAAAGGGAAGTGGTAGTTGCTGTTCCTTTCTTTCAAAAAAAATTAATGATCGTATGTACCACGTTATTGCCTTGTATCATGAGAACATCGTGTTACTTACTATCCGAAAGCAATGCTTTGAATGTAAGCTCATTGCATTCAAAGAGCTGAATGTGCACCACATTGAGTTGCTGTGGGTTCAGGGCAAGGTGGAAAGTTTTCCGTCTGAAGGTTACTCACTAGATGTCACAGAATTGCCGATGCATTTTCTAGAACATATTGGTCACTTGGGGAGCCTTTTTCCCCCATTGTAGTATAGTAGGTGGAGGAAGAAGGTGAAGCCTTGCACACACCCTGTTCTGGATGGGCAGACCATTAGCGAGAATGGGGTAACCTTGGCATAGTGCTTTCCAGGTCCCCACTGTGATTATTTCTTGTAGAAAGTGCCCCTCTATCATTCATGAGATGTGATATCCAAAATAAGAATCACCTCCTTCCACATGATATAGTAAAGGCAGGGGAGAGAGTCAATAGAGAAAGCAAAGGCCATGTGCAAGAGAAGGACCTCTCCTGGGGGTCTACTCACTGCCCAACCCTGGGCCAGACCCTCAACAGAAGTCGCCTCACTTAAGCACCACCCAGGAAGATGTGTGTCCTTAGTGTTCCTTTCAGACAGGGGGGCTGAGGCTCAGAGAGGTCCAGTGGGTATCCCCAGCTCAGATTCCCGGATTCACTGCACATAAAGGATGGGGTGCTACCTCCACATTTTCCAGTTTTAAAATGGAGGAGCTACACAGGTAGTCATCCAGCTGGGATTGTGATTATAAAGGAGAATGACGAACTTGCCTGGAGGTCGCTTGTCACTGCTGGGGGTGTTGGGAGTGCAGGGGTAGGGAGCACACTTTGAAGTTTTTCAACAAATCATTTACAAGAGTTCCTGGCATTTAGAAGACGCTAGACTGAAACTGTGTGTTTACCTGAGGCCTGATTGGACCTAAGCATGCACCACCAAGGCCAGAAAGGATCTAACAGTATTCATGCTTTCTACCTTTCCATAAAGGCTAGAAACTCTCTTTAGTGGATCGGGTATGTTATATAACTTAAAATTTCATCACTAATGTAGAAAATATACACATTATTAAAGCAAAGCAATTTTGTTTAACAAAATAAGACATGAGCAGAGTTTCTGTTGCCAAAATATTTTTAAGTACTCCTTACTAGAAACCTAGTAAGCTGCACAGTTTTTTTTTATTTGACTCAATCCAGCTCATAAGAGTTCCCAACAATCATTATTTCTAATGTGTAGTCATAGGGTAGCTTTGCTAAAGATATTTTCTATTTCAAGTTTAAAATTATTGCTACTCCCAATTTAGAATAAGATGGGGAAGGGTGCTGGAAGAGCAAGCACGTGTTAAAGGTACTCCATAAATCAATCTCAAATAACAATCCCTGAAGTATCACTGCTTCCCAGGCTGAATTACTGATATTCACTTGTTAGCCTGTATGATCAGCTTCCTTTTATGGATGGTGCTTCATAGCTTTGAAGAGCAGGTTCCGCTTAGAAACACCATAAATCAAGACTACGAGAAATGACATCTGAATAAGACCAGACAGCAAGAACAATACTGAAAGCTCATGGGCTTGGAACAGAATTTACACTGAATTAAAATGTGTAGGACTGAATTAGAAGTTTCAGAAATAGCAATAAGGCAAGAAAAATTGAATGCATACCAAGTGGAAAGAAAGAAAAAAAACACATTCTTATTTTCAATGACATAATTATCTACACAGAAAATTGCAAATAATCCACTTTTAAAAAAGTCAATAAGCCAGGGTTGGAAGATGACTCAGAGGTTAAGTGCACTGGCTGCTCTTTCAGAGGTCCTGAGTTCAATTCCCAGCGACCACATAGTGGCTCACAACCTTCTATAACGAAATCTGATGTCCTCCTCCGGTGTGCAGGCAGAACATTGTATACAGAATAAATAAATAAAATTTTTGGAAAAAAAGTCAACAAGCCTAAAGGACACAGGAGGGTCTTAGGATACAAGACCAGCACACAAAATTCAATCCAATTTCCATGTATTAAGAAATAGACAAAATTAAAAGTGTATACAGTCACTCCAAAAAAAATTAAATTATTTTGGGTATAAAGTTAACAAATTATGTGTGGAATCTATATGATGAAAAAATATTTTTAGTGCTAACAAAAGTAATCAAAGACTTAAACAAGTAAGATATACCATGTTCATGGATTAGAAGACACAAAGCAGAGTTGAGATCAATTCTTCTTAACTGGGCTCTGGGTTGGATTCGTTTCTATGAAAGCCCCAGCAAAATTTTGGTAAACATATGTAAGCTTACTATAAAAGTTGTGTTGTAAAATAGGAGTATAGCTCAGTGGCATAGCATTTGCCTAGCATGCACAAAGTCCTGTTTAATCCCAAGCACCACACACACAGAGATAGTTACATATTCCAAGGTGTGTAGTCTTTGAAATAGTTTTTAAAATACTTTTAAAAAGAAGACAAGTAGGAGAAATTCGTTGAACCAATGAGGAAGATCTATTGTATATCAATACTATTCAAGACACTTTGTTTTTAATAGAATCATGGATGCATAGATCCATGGGACAGAACAGAGAATCTAGAAATGGATAGAGTGTGGTGCATTAAATTTTTGTTTGTTTGTTTGTTTTTTCTAGACAGGGTTTCTCTGTAGCTTTGGAGACTGTCTTGGAACTAGCTCTTGTAAACCAGGCTGGACTCGAACTCACAGAGATCCACCTGCCTCTGCCTCCTGAGTACTGGGATTAAAGGCGTGCTCCATGATTGTCTGGCTGAATTATTTTTTTTTTTTTACAAAGGTAGAGGTTTAACATGTGAGGACAGCCTTTAACAATTGTGATAGGGCATGTGGACACCCATAGTGAGCCCTACGCTAACCTCAGACCTTACATACAAACTACGTCAGCGGAGCTCATGTGTGTAAGCACACGAATGTGAAACTACCATGCAATAGAAAGAACTAGAAAACTTCAGGAACAAGGGCTCGGCAGAGTGTTTTCGCACTTGATAGCAATAGTGCGCTCAACACAGGAAATTATGATAAGTTAGACCTATTAAAGTATAAAAGTTTGGTTATACAAAGGACCCTGTTAAAAGGATGAAGAGACAGATGATGGTGACAGAATGTCTGCAGACCACACATCTGGCAAAATCCTAGTGTTGAGAGTATATGCTAATGTCTGCAGACTACATATCTAGCCAAGGGCTAGCATTGAGAATACATACAGATGTCAAGAAGGGTATGAAGGAGAAAGATAGTGATATATGCTGTGCTGGGAACATCAAACAGAACAGAGACTGGAAAGCCACTTGACTGTTTCCTAAAGCACTAAGTTTGCAACTGTCTACCAACCAGAAACTGGACACTGATTCCACAGAAACGAAAACATATGTTCACACAAAGACTTACATAATAGAGGACCAGGAGGATGGTTCAGCGAGGCTCTTACCAGGCAACTCCGCTGACCAGAATTCAATTCCTGAAACCCACCTAAAACAGTAAAAAGAGAGAACTGGCTTCACAAGGTTGGCCTCTAACCTCTTCATGCACACTGCTGCATAACACACACACACACACACACAAACATACACACAAGAAAATAAGAAAAACACTTCCACATGAATTATCCAACATCAGAAAACTGGAATCAGCTGGGTATAGCGGTACACATCTTTAATACCAGCACTCGGGAGGTAGAGACAGGCAGATCTTGGTGAGATCAAGGCCAGTTTGGTCTACATATCAAGTTTCAGGACAGCCAGGGCTACATAGAATGACCTTGTCTCAAATTTATCTCTCTCTCTCTCTCTCTCTCTCTCTCTCTCTTTCTCTCTCCTGAAATCAACTACATGTCCATTAATCTGGTGGCTGGTAAGACAAATGGCGAATTATCTATACCATAGAATACTACTCAGTAGCATAAAGGAGCTAATTATTAATACAAGCAGAAGCTTGAGGAATCTGCAGAAAATTATGCTAAGTGATTAAAAAAGCCATGCAGAGCGTTCGCTTTATTTAATTCCATTCATGTAACATTTTGAATGCTGTGATTTTTCTAGAAAGGAGCCCAGCATGAGACCGGCGAACATGACTGTAAGTGGATAATGACAGATTCTTCTGGTGAGGAAGCAGCCATAGCTTGACCTAAGTCAATATTAAATTGGGGAAACTGGGTAAAATGAACATGGGACCTCTTTGTATGACTTCTTAAAACCGCATCTGAATCTTAATTATCTACACCTATCTCAGCATCTGCAGCTGCCTCAAAGGGAGAATTTAATGGAAAACTTGCTGAAATCAATTCTTTATGCCATCTCGCCTGAGTCCCTAACAGAATGAAGAACATAGCAAAGAGCGACACATCAACACCTAGCAGAAAGGAGACATGTCTTCTGTTAATCACTGATATACATGTTTGTGAGAGCAGTGTAACCCTTCTTTTAAAAGCTCTTAAATGTATTTAATTTAGTGCTGAACAGAAATTACTAAGAACCTGACGGGGCTGGGGTGGAGCCCAATGGAGCACTTCTATAGCATGAAGCACTGGGAGTGACTCCAAGCATCATGAAAAAGAAGAATTGGATGAATGTGCTGTCCAGATTTTCTGTGGGACATTTACGAGAGATGAATGTCTTCAAGTTTCTAATATATACTTGTTGAATAAGTGTGGTAAGTAACTGAGTTTGTAAATAGGTTTTCTCGCCATCTTATCAGCAACCATTTTCTAATTACCAAGAGGGGCTGGTCTTTGCTTTCTCCTAATGAGACATCTAAAGTAAATCAAGACCCCTATATGTTTGTCATGGCCTCCAATGACCACGGAGCTGGCGCGTTGTGAAATTCCGTTGCCGTTGATGCCCACACGGTGCATATTGACTCTTGGGGACTATGTTGTTTTAGGGTTGAAATGTGTTCCTGAAATTGTTTCCCAAAGCCTTGTGTTTCATCTTCAATAACATAGCTGTCACCAGTGATGTATTTATTAATGGTAAAATTCTCTAGAATACCTTATTGATGTTTGTTTGATTGCAATAGCGGGTTGCTTGTGGGAAAACTTCATTACGACAATTATAGTTTGCCTGTCTTGTGTAAGGCATGTGGAGTGCAGTCTGTCTTCACACTAGGTATGTCTGACTGTTTGGTCAAAGACTGTTTCATTCCCAATACAGTTTCTGTGCTTGCCTGTGCTATCCTAACTGTGTCGGGATATTTGTGCATAGTCTTTTACATGAACTGTTATAAATTAACATTATTAGATTCCTAAGAAAACAGAGGCTACTACAATGCAGCCGCTGAAGACTGTCCAGCAGAAAGGAACAAGCAGGCGACTTTTGTTAGGACCTTTTTTCTGCTGAGACTGAGCTTGCTGTCTTGCCCAGGCCAGTCTTGAACCCCTAGGCTCAAGCAGTCCCCCAGTGAGCTGGAACTCTCATGGCTTGCCATGGATCCTGGCTGCTATGACTTCACAAGACTCTGAGTTACATGAACTTCATTTGCTGACTTAGAGGTACCACTGTAAATACTCTTTGAGGACCCATCCCTAACAGAGGAGCTGTGGGCAATTGACTGCCATTCTTCTTTAGGGGCATGGGCCACCGGTTGCACCCACAAACGTGAACATACGGGTAGCACTACGTGGGTTTAGGGAGCTTTTCTTTTAACTAAACAAAGAGAAGAGGGCATGGAATTGAGAGGTGGTCTTGGGGGAGAAGGGGTAGAAATCTCAGGGGAGATGAAGGGGGAAAGCTGGGGGGGAATATGTCTTTGTAAACACATACTAAATTGTCAAATAATAAAATAAATATATATAACTAGAGATGCTGCTGTAGCCACATTTTATGTTTCCCATTCTTGAAGGAGTTACCAGTTGTGTTGTTCTGATCGTGTGTGTGCATGTGGGATATTCTATATATACTCATGTAGACATGTTAGTGTGTGTACATTTGCATATAGGTGTGCATGCTTGCATGTGCATATATGTACAGACCAGAAGTCCAATGTCAGATGTTTTCCGTAAATGCTCTCCACTTTAATTTTTAGGTGTGTGTGTGTTTGTGTGTGTGTGTGTATGTGTGCATGTGTGTGCTGAATGCACATGTGCCTGTGCAGGTGTGCACACCTGGACACATACACAGGATCAGAGGAGGACATCAAGAGTCTTGCTCTCTCACTCTTCACCTTATTCCCCCGAGACAGGCAGGGTCTCTCACTGGACCACAGCTGGACCGTGATAAGCTAAGTGTTGCTCCCTATCTTGACCCCCTACAGAAATGGGGTGACGAGTATAAGGTCTTGAGCATGGCCCAGATTTTTACATGGGTGCTGGAACTTGAACTCAGGTCACTGTGTTTGCAATGACAAACACTTTTACTGGCTGAGCCACTAACTCGGTCCCTCGCCACTTTATTTTTAAAGGCAAGGTGTCTCAATAAACCTGGAGCTTCTTGATTTGGCTAGGCTGGTTACCCATTGCACGCCGGGATTCTGCCAACCTTGGTTCTCCCAGTACTGGGTTTACAGGCAGCGTGCCACCACAACCCCCTGGTACTCGGAAGCTGGAGATTTAAACCCAGGTGCTTGTGCTTGGGTGCTAGGCAGTCTACGGACTGAGCCATCTCCTCAGTCCCCGCACTTACTGTTTTTAGTACAACTGTTATTCCTATAGTCCAGGGCTCTTTATGAACTCAGGTGGGTTGTCTCCTCCTTGCCTCTATTTCAGCTCCCAATCCCTTGGCCACACTTGGGGCAGGCTCTCTTCAGAACTGATCTCCTCTGACCATGCATCCAGACTCTCCCTTCTTCTCTCCACCTAACCCTTAATTTCCTGCTGCCCAAGCAGAGAGACTCCTCAGCATCATCCCCCAACACACCTATTCGAAAGGTTAGCAACCGCAGAACAGGTCTACAGTGGAGAGCAAGCCAGTGACCCTGCCCTCAAGACACTGCAGTTTATAAACTCTAAGTAGAGCTCAGCCTGTGAACTTCAAACTCCATCAGCTCAGCCCATACCCTCAGTGAATGCTACTCCAGGCTAACTCCATAACACACTCCATCCCTGGATAAGTTCTGCATTTATCTCTCTGCTGAGCTGTATTCACAAGAACTAGCTCTCGTTTTAAACCTGAGGTCCACATTTTAAGGTCCACATCTTTGACTGGGCATGCCCTCAGCAGATTCCCAAGAGAGAAGCCGCTGTTTCTCCTCCTGCGGAATGGGTCTGTGTACAGGCAGAGCAGCGATAGTTAGATGAAGGATGGGAAGAGGTGCAGGAGATAAAGGGGCGATAAGGGGAGATTCTGGGAGTCTTCAGACTATTTCCAAGAGTGGGCGGTAGGCCATATTATGGAAAGTATTAAAGATGAAAAGAAGCCGGGTGGTGGTGGCGCACGCCTTTAACCCCAGCACTCAAGAGGCAGAGGCAGGCAGATCTCTGCGAGTTCGAGGTCAGCTCGGTCTATAAGAGTTAGTTCCAGGACAGGTACCAAAGTTACACAGAAAAATCCTGTCTCAAAAAAAAAAAAAAAACCAAAAAAACAAAACAACAACAACAACAACAAAACCATGCAGAGAAGCATTGACAAGCATTAAGAATTAACTTGAAAATGAGCAAAAGAATTATGTTTGAGGGTTCATGCGATGGCACACTAGGCATGTATAGAGAAGGAAGATGCTTTTACTGGCAAAAGTCATGAGTTACTTGGAAACAAAGCCCACAAACGTTGAAGACATCAGGTCCGTGGAGGGCATGTCCTTTCATACAGACTGCTGGGAACCTTTGATTAGGGGAACCCATGAGGCTTGAGCAGCACTGGGACTTTGAAGGATATGCGGGTCAGGTGCTCAGAAAGTCCGGAAATAATCCTTATCCTGGGCAGGTCATCCTCCTGCACGCTTCATGTTCTCCCAGCTCTGAGTCTCACTGGGCTCTGATAAGAGTAACATCATCTTGGTAGCAACACTTTTCTCAAAAGGAAGGAAGCCAGCAATTCCAGGAAGCAGATTAAGAAACTAACCGGTTGGGACCTTGTGCAGTGCGGGACAGCTGCAGGGGGAAGACCTGTACTTAAGCAAAGGTCAGAGCATAGAAAACTGGAAGATGTAGAAGATAGTGGCTGGGAAGGGCAGGGAGAACCAGAAGCTGTGGCCAGAGGTGGGGTGGTCCCTGCAGGGAGAAGAAGCAAGGCCAATTAGATCCTCTGGGCATCTCTACCCAGACATCTGCTTGTCAGCTATTACTAAGGGTAAAGCAGCACTATGAGCTTTAAAATATGGTGGTTGTTTTGGTTTATCGGGTGAGTATGGTTTGGAAGGGGGATTGTTGTTTATTTTGGTTTGCTTTGGTTTTGGTGTTTGCTTGTTTTTTGTTGTTGTTTTTGTTTATTTGTTTGAAACAGACCGGCCTTGAACTCACTATGCAGATGAAGATGACTTTGAACTTCTGACCTTCCCACTGCCACCTCACCCTGGGACTGTAGGCATGATCCACCACACCCAGGTTTGTGTGATGCCACAGATTGAATCCAGAGCTTCATGCCTGCCTCATTCTATCAACTTAGCTACATCCTCGGTCCTAGGAATCGTCAAATAAAAGCCACTGGAGACTATTGTTTTGGACTGAGTTCCTACACTGGGCTTCAAAAGACCAGGATACAAATCAAGATGGAGTCGCAAATGCTAGCCACAGATTCTATACCACCATGCTGAAACCAGGGCACTAATCCAACCTTCTGAGGAATCAGGATTAGGGGGCATTCTGGTTTTAAAGGAAATGTCTCCTACAAGCTCCTGATTTGAACACCTGGTCCCCAGTTGTTGAAGCGATTAATAGAGGCACTGAACCACTGGGGATTTTCTGCTTCCTGTTCAGATGCGATAACAGCCTGGAACCCACACCTCACTGTGACAGCAGAAACCGCATGCTCGGCTGTGCCTTCTCCACCACCACACACTGAAACTGTGAGCCACAGCTGATCTTTCTTCCCCTAAGATGTTCTCTCCAGATGCTGTGGTCACAGCCACACAAACATAATTGATGCAGAGGAGAGATGAGAGAGACTGGTTTCAATTGGTATGATACTAAATTTCCTGCTACCTTAAGCTTTGTACCCAGAGACGGCGATGGAAAAATGCCCGGCATGCAACTGTCAGTTCTTTTGCTGTTCGTGTTGTCCTAACTGTAGGAGCTGAAGGCAACATTTAGCTTCTTGCTCCTTGTTTGCGCTTCTCTGGATACTGTGATCCCCAAATCGTCCTCCTCTCGCTGGTCTGTAGAACGATGTCGTCCCGATCCTAGAATCTTAAATTGGCTGGGAGACGGAGGTGACTTCAATTCATTGTTTCTCCTCCTTACAAGTCAGTTCCTTCCCGTGTAGAATGGGATTATTCCCATGCACGCCTGGCTCACCGGAAGGGTTAAGAACTGGCTGAGTCATGGCATCTTCCTTTTCACACCCGACGGAAGCCATTTGTCTACTCTCAGATCCCCCTGGTAAGAACGGGAAGGATTTGAGAGGGGATAGTTCCAACTCTCGTTTCGGCCTCTACCTTCTCTATGTCTCAGGGAGGTTTCTTAGTCTCCTGGCTATTTCTAGATAAGCAATTAAACCTGTTGTTCCTAACAAACTTGCCATGGTTTGGAAAACAAACTGTGCCACCTGGTGGCTGACTGGAGGAAAGTCACTTTCTTAAAACTCATCCAAGAGAGGAACTGTAAAGGCAAGAGCCAATTTCAGTAACTTGTTTATAGCCGAGACACACCACACTCTCCCACTTTGTGAGCATACCCAGATGAGTATTTCCCGCACAGTATAGATTTACAAAACATTAAACTTCAATTGCGATATTTCTTTCCTTTTTTTTTTTTTTTGAGAAAGCCTCTCCCACTGTAACCCAGGCCTTCTTGGAATTCAAGATCTACCTCCCTTTGCCCCTTAAATTCTAGGATTATTGAAATGATATTTTTAAAAAGCCATTTTTAGCAGTAACTGTAGCTGATTTCCAATTATTAACTGCGGCTTTGCAAACGTTAATCCATTTAAGTTTTCACATCTGTCCTGCTAGGAAGTAAAGCCTTCCATGTTCACATGGGAACTTCGAGGTTCAGGGATGTCACAACCCATGTTTTTAGGCTAAACAAATAATAAACTCCACCTCTGCTCAAGTCCTTTCCCTTCTGACCATGCTTTGGGGAACTCCAGACGGCTGGAGGAGGGTTCTGCTTTCCCCTCCTTGGCTTGCCCTTCTCTTACTTCATCTTCAATGTCGTCAGCGTAGCCACTGCAGACCTGCCTTCTTCTTCTTCTTCTTCTTCTTCTTCTTCTTCTTCTTCTTCTTCTTCTTGTTCTTCTTCTTCTTCTTCTTCTTCTTCTTCTTCTTCCTCTTCCTCTTCTTCGTTTTTCAATACAGAATTTCTCTATGAAGTTTTGGAGCCTGACCTGGAACTCACTCTGTAGACCAGGCTGGCCTTGAACTCACAGAGATCCGCCTGCCTCTGCCTCCCCGAGTGCTGGGATTAAAGGTGTGCGCCACCGCCGCCCTGCCTGAGACTTGGAGTTTTATAGGGCAGAAAAAGGGACCTTTCTGGTGGAAGAGTCCATCTGCAGATCTGTTCCCTTGCATTCTCCAGGCTGTGAATGCCAATGCAGGCTGCTCATCTTTAAGAGTTCAGTGGATCCCAGTTCCCTGCAGAAGACGTTATCTTTGCATCGGT